AGCTGTGGTTTTCAAGCTAAATTCAAGGTGGCCTGAGACCACGGTTTACTGCCCTGAAACACTCTGTTCAGGCCACCTTGAAAAGAAAGGTGTAGTTGGCACCTTGCTTGCAGCTACCAGGTATAGTACTTCAAGTTCCCTTTCCGTCAACCGCTCGATAGCCTCTACACACGCACAGCAATCCACAGCTTTGAAGTCTCATTTGTGCTTTGAACTTGTGTAGGTGTGTAAGAGGTCTCACGGCCGCCTCCACCTGGCAAATGCCAAGCGGAGCTGCCGTAGAGAAATGAAAGAAAATGGAGTGGGATGGTGGATCTAGGGTGCAGACCTACCTTTCTATCCTATGCTTCGACGCGCAGTTCTCGAGAAAGGGAAGCGCTGGCTTTCGTTTTGCAGCTTCTCAGGTTCGGTGGAGGTTCCAAAGTTCTACCCAATGTTGGATTCATTGGTGGTGAACAATGTTGAACCAACATGGTGGGGTTGGATCTCACTTGCCGAGGATCCCAAACTGTCGGGGAATAGTTGAATCAATAACCACACCACGGAATCAAAGAATGCCAGTCTGTGAAGTCTGGTCTGAATCAGATTCGCAATCACAAAAGACCTGTTGAAGCGTTACTTGACGCTGATGGATTGCTATGCCGACGAAACCATGTGTTGCTGATGAACACCTCAAACCAGGGGGAGCAGGCTGCTATCATTAGGTTGATGTTCGTGGTGGTAGATGGGTAGATGGCCCTCATATAGGCATGGTTTGGAACCACCTGCAATGCCTGAGAGACTTGAGAAGGATTTGCTGTTGTGAGGTCCAGATCACAAGCAAAAAACACATGTGCGCTTCGCAAGTTGCCGTGATTTTGACGAATCGAGTTTTTATCAGTGAGAAATTGGTAGATCAACCGTGCCATTTTTATAAGCTGCCCTTGATAAGTCAGATTCACGGTACACTTCAAACAAAGTAAGCATGGAAAGGGACAGGGAACTGTTTGTAGTAGTCTTCCACGGGTCATTTTTCACTTTGTGTGCTTTGTCCCCATGGTATGTTTTCACATGTCCGCTTTCCATATGCAGGTCACCGACAGGTCTTATGGTGCTTGGTGGATGCCGGCGCTGACAAGGCGCGGCGTGGGGTTACGACGGTGACGACGTAAACCGGTGGGAAACGCTTAACCTGCATTTTTCCAGGCCCAGACACTCCATGTATGCCATATATGCCTACATTGACCCCTCAAACTGTCTGGGAGGGAAATTGAGGGAGTGAGTTTCTTTGCAGCCAAGTGTTTTTCTTGTTGGCTTGCAGCCATGAACAGCGAAGCGTAGAAAGCAAGACAGACAACTAGTTTGTCAAAAGCACTCTTGATGTGTGTATTTTAATAGGGAGACTCCGTGTAGACTGGTTTGTTATCCTGCTTCCAGGGGGGTCGGAACGCCTGGGAGGTTGAGCCGTAGTTGAGCTACATACTCACTTGATGTTTCGTTTCCAAAATCACATGAAGATCATGAAGTAGACCTCCCAAAGTGAAACACCACTGCACAGCCCAACAAAGGAACACCACACCCAGTGAGGCTCGTTTTTTGCGGACGATTTTTTTCACGATCGGAACATCGATTTCAGCTGCTTTGGTCGGAAATTCCATGCCCACAGGGAACTCCACTTCCCTCAAATTCGCTTCAAAAGACCGCCAATGTCCAGGGCGCCCGTCGGGTTTTGGTGACACCAATCTCTAGTGTTTTTCAGGCTACATTTGATGGGACCCCAAGTCAGCTGAGTCAGCTGGTTCCTACCTATGGCTTACACTCGCACCCCATGTCATCCCGTGAATTTTCCCTGGAAGACATCATATGACAACATGACTCGAAACGTTTTTGGGAGCCCACATTTGAGGGGGTGTTTGAATAAGGTAGACCTCCAACGGCACCTGGCTAGGTGGACAGGTCGAAGCTTCCCGAATCAAATCCCAGCAGGTCGGGATGAACGGTGTGGGCCTTCCTATTTGAGCTATGATCCTATCCACACCTGATCCTAGCTTGGGTGAGTTATGAGACTCACATGCCAGACCCAAGCCCTACGTACCTGTAATTGGATCCCACAACTGGTCGGATCAAGAGCTGCTCCACCGGCAGCATCGTCGGGGCCGTCGTCGCCAGGATCTCCGTGATGCTCAAGGGATGAGCCCCTTGTGCCGTGCGGCGGAGCGTGGGCATTTTGAGGCACGGCCAGTAATCCTGTCAACAACGACGACAAGAACAACAGCAACAACAACAACCAACCAACTCACCCATCCACCCACCCACCCACCCACCCACCCACCAACCAGCCAGCCAGCAAACAAGCAAACAAGCAAACAAGCAAGCAAACAGCAGCAGCCCAGGCAAACAAACAAGCGCAGCATAAGGAGGACAACATCTTTCACGAGATGAATAATTAATGTTCCTCCCCTGTGAGGTGGTCCGTTTCCTGGTTGATGTGGCGGCAGACGTGAACCAGGCGATCGAGCGGCTCGTGCGGTGGAGCAAGGGGCATGCGGTGAACCGAAGCAACGTCACAGCGGTGAAAGCACTGAATCTGACGAATTCGGAATCGGATTAACGCTCCGAATCGTCAACATGGAAGATATGGAAGTGGAAAAGCTCCTCTTTGTAGAGGAAAGTAGCGAACCGAACAGTGGTGATGTCCAACTTCCATGAGGTCGTGAGCCAGAGTGCAATCCATGTTTTTAAGAGAAGATGCAGGTCTCTAGGGCCAAGGAAGTGTTGTTTTTCTGATTCCCAAACTTGGTGGTTTTGAGTTGGGAATCCTCCACAGGTGGCGAATAGTGGTGATCTACAGAAGAAGAAGAAGACTTGTAGTGATCCATAGATCAGCAGCAGCAGGTGAAACCGAGTTCAAATCCACCCATTGATGAAATGATTTCGGCTTCAGAACCATTTTGTTCGGGTGTTTGTTTCCGATGATGTGCCTGTTTGTCGCGACCCGGCCGGTACAACCTTCTTGTCAGGTTTGGGTGAGGCGGGTATAGGCGGGTGGTAAGTGCGGAAGCTAGACATTGCTAAAACGCCTCATTGGGAAGTTAAAAGAAACATTGCTGCGGCTTGTCCAGGAGATCGGTAAATAACCCAGCAATGAGGCTGAATATGGAGAAGGCTGGTTAAATGTCGAGTGGAGAAATCCATTCGCTTTAAGGGATTAGACGCAGTCACAGATCTTTTGTACTGTATTGGAAAAGTTGGAAGGAAGGAAGTTATGATGGGACCTAGTCATGGCAAGGACCGTGTTCCCCTGGTCGTTTTACAAAAGTCAACGAAAGTCAGAAGTCAAGCTCAGACAGATATATTATTAAGAAACAAAATATGTGTTGTAGTATTTCCTGATCATTCCTGATCCTTTGGCTGCGGCTAAGTCGTGAGCCCAGACGATCATCAATTGGGAAGCCCAGGCTTGGTCCAGCTGACCACCCCCTTTGTTTGGTCGCCTGCTTAAGCAGTGAGATGTGCGTCCCATCTCTACCAGAGGCGAAGAAGACACTCCGAACACGCTCAGGGACCGGGCCCAGAGCATTCACTTAGCATGTGATGTGGCTTGTTTGTTTGCCAACCAGACGCGACCAGTGGGACTGCGGACTGCCGCCCCATTGACCTTTATTGGCACCACCCCAATGTAGGTATATATGCCAGTCCCATGGAGTGTCTGGGTACTGCAAAGTTTGTTTCTGAAAAACCTATAGCCGAGCACACGTGACTTCCAACCGAGCACACGTCGGCTGCAGCGACCGGTGTCGACGACCTGTCAGGGGTCGATGGGGCGTCAGCCGTTGCACTGGGCGATGGAGAGGGGACACTTGCCACTGATCCGCTTTCTGGATGCTTGGGCAGCAAATGGCAGCAAGACGCGACACAAGACAAGGAGCACCCAAGTTCATCAGTTGTTCATGTGTTTCTATTTTTTGAAGACTTTTATGTTTTTCCACGATGTGACCTACCCGGACTCAAAATACCTTGTAGAGACCCTGGGGCCCTTTCTGAACCGGAACAGCTCGTTGAGTTCGGGTGAACGGCACTGGAGATTGGTCGTCAAAATCGATGAGCCGGTCTGCGGATGTATTGGACTTCAGCGAACAGTTTTTTTTTTGACTTCTTATTTCTACCCCTGAGAAGCAAGGACCCGAGAAAAGGTGAAGGTTGTTTGTTGGCCCAAACCCTGTTCGGGTAACAGTTACGGTAGCAATAGCAGTAAACAGTAAACATATTTTCTCCCGAAGCGCTTCCAAAAGCTTGGCGATATCGCACGGTGGAGAATCACTAGAGCGCATCAATGATGGCCCAATGTAGCAGATGCTTCTATGAACGGATCTATTATTTAAGTTGTCAATTTTCAGTACTGTTCCACACTGCATTCGAGGCTGGTACACAATGCTTTTAATGCAATATTTACATGACTACCATGCTTACCCTGACAGACTGGGTTCAGCGTACATACTGAATAACATTTCAATGTCAGTTTTTGTGCAATGAGCGGTGGGTGTTTGGGGGTCGTTCTACATTGACCAACAAGTGTTTTCGCATTGCATGCATTTGACAGCTGTAGCTTGTTGGCACACTTCACACCCTTCGGTAGCATGAATCACTCAACCATGGCGGACTGGAGCCTTTTCGGCTGGACGCAGAACAGCTACATGAGGGAGTTGTCTCGTTCCAAAGTGTGTCACTTATTTTTGTTCAACGTTGTTGTTGAGACCCGCAAGGAACATGGGGTTTTTGTTTCCCAACCCATTGGGCGTTTCCGAACCCTTGGACCCTCTTTCTAGCAGATGTTTTCTACTTGGATTCTTTCGGTTATAGGAACATCAGTGCACGAACAGGTTTTTGGGAGATGAGTGTTCTTTGGACATTGTTGTGGACCCGGATCGGTTATTTTCCATCAACTTGGCATGCTTGGAACATGTTCACGTTGTTTCGGTGCTGGTTGTGTGCTTGTAGTATATTGCAAATCGAGCGTTGGAGAAATCCCAGACAGGCCAACGCACATTATTCTACACCGACCTATCCGATACACTATGATAACACTGAACAAGCGATGTCTCTTTCAGCGATGTCCACTGGACCCCGAGGTCCAGTCCAGCGCTGAAGTGCAGTCCGAAGATGCCAATGGGCAGAGCCCCTTGAGCCTCGCGGCGCAGCGAGGCGGGGTGAGAAGCCGTTGGGGGAGAAGCTCCGGGCGAAGTGGTTGAAGCAGGTGGTGAGCTGTGGAATTTGGTGTTTTTCGAAGTGGGTCTCTGGAATTGAATCTTCGTATATTGTTTTTTTGCGGGATCATGTAAGGTTTTACGATTTTATGTAGTATAGACTAGAACCAGTTGATGGCAACGGCACCTTTGTAAGCCAATTCAGGTGACTTTCCCTTGTGTATCTTGGGTCTAGTCCTCGGTTGGAGAAATCAGTGAGATATATGACGCCCCATGTCACATACTAAGCCGCTTGCCTCCTTGACCAACGATCTACATTATATAACATGCATAATCCATATTAGAATCATAGAAATCGATGCTGTTTTCTTAAGGGGGGCCATTGTCCGTTGTTCTTCCTTTCGTCTATGCTGTATTTACCCTAAACCAAGCCTTTCGTCTAGCCGTGCGAGTTCCACGGAGTTTTGGCCTCGATCCCCGGTCCCGGTTTTCAACGGGCGAAGGTGGGTCGGAATCGAAGAAGAGGGTGAATCATTCTGCCTGCGACACATTGAAGTGCCAGAAAGATATATAAGGGTGTCGTGATATTAGTGATATGTTATTTTTATAAATAACAAGAACATAAAAGACACGTTCTTTTGAGGGCAAGGTAGCCTTTCTTAGTTGAAGAATCAGTTTTTTGCTGTCATTTGTCATAGGAAGTAGGATTGCCACAGTACAATGGCCGTTCCCGCTTTTTAGCGCAGGTGTCATGATTGTTTGATGCGGTGGCTCCAGATCGAACACGAAAATCCAAAGACCCACAATTCAGACGCCTCCTGAAAACGCCCCCACAGCTCAGCTCTATCCAACAAATACGGAAGTCATGGATGGCACAGTTTCTTAGAAAAAGTGCTTTCCTGCATATTCCAGGGGGAGGAGATGTGTTTTTTGAACAATCGGAGGTTAGCCCTCTGGGTGCGCCTTGGCAGACCCTTTCGAGTTCACTGCACCTTCCGTTCCCACTTGCAGGCCACTTGCAGGCGGTTTGCTTCTTGGTCGATGCTGGAGCAAACAGGCGGGCGCCCTCTTGACACTTCCGAGTCCAAGTGCATGCGTCAAGACATGATCAATATAGCCAGGTTTCTTGGAGTTTCCATCGAGGCATGTATAGAAGGGAAACGGCAGAGAGGGGGAGTCCATGGTAGAGAAACATGTTCTTGACATACTCACTTGTACATGCTGAAATAGCTATGTTCCAACTGCCTTACCTCGAGGGGAGAAGAATCATGAAGAAGCAGACCAGCACCACCCAAATGGTGGTTTATCGATGTTTATATTTATATACTTACATACCTCCTTGACCATACCCTAATGCTCCTATAGGCAAATATGAAGAACATGCCAATGTAGCCCTGGAAACACACATTTCAATGCAGCTCTGAGACACCGACATTTATGTTTGTCGGAATGGTTGGTGTCGAATTTGGGGACGGGTTTTTTTTTGCGACAGTTTTAGGGGTTTTTTTAAACAGTTGCACAGTTAAGGGGGTTTTCTGCGACGGTGCTACCTGCAAGGGGGGTTTTCTGCGACGGTGCTGCTGGAAAGCAGGGTTTTCTGCCACAGTTCTGAAATTACTGTCGCAAAAAAACCCCTGGGCTTGGAGTGAGTAGTGGTCAGTCAGAATAGTAGAAGCAGCAGCAGCGAAGTCGAACTCGCGCTTGTGTGCTTGTTTGTTTGTTTGTTTGCTTGCTTGCTTGCTTGCTTGTTTGTTTGTTTGTTTGTTTGTGTTTTGTTTTGTTTGTGTTTTGTTTTGTTTTGTTTTGTTTTGCTTTTGTACACATACCTTTGTGTAAGAGTTTGTCGCACAAATGAGAAACGTTGAACATTCCAGAAATGTTTAACAAATGGAAGTGTTTTACCTAAATGTTTAACACATGGTAGTGGAGCCAACAAAGCATCCAGAATTAGCTTGTGATTAGCATCAGAACAAAATGGATTTCTGATGGGAGGGTGGGTAGAAGATCCAGAATTAACTTTGTGTTGGGTTGGGTTGGGTTGGGTTGTGGTGTGGTGTGTTTTGTTGTGTTGTGTTGTGTTTGGCTGTGTTGTGTTGTGTTGTGTTGTTGTGTTGGGTTTTGTTTTGTTTAGTAGTAGTAGTAGTAGTAGTAGTAGTAGTAGTAGTAGTAGTAGTA